TGCAATAGAAAACGGCAGCCAATGCCGTGTTCTATGAATTAGTAGGGGTAACATTAGTATACTATACTGTAAATGTGCTAGTGTGACAAATATCCATTAGGCGATACTGTACTCTATTTTTACATCAAACATTTGTTTTTTTTAAAAGTAATGTATTAAGCTAACTTTTAAACTAAATTAAAGTGTTTTGGGAGCATGACCGAGGTCATATTTAGGGTTTAAACTTTAGAATTAAGCACATATTACCATTTTTAATGACTCTACCAAATATCCGCGAATCATCCTCATTCACGAAGGGTTCTGGAACGTAACGTCTGACTGTAATGCAATTACTGTTCTCCCAGCCTGTGTCTGCCCCCCCCTCCCCTACCCCCGCAGTTTCCTCACTTCCCCACGCTGTATATGCAGCTCTCTCTGGCGGACTTGTGCCTCCCCCCACACTTCAGTGAGTGACCCCCATAACTCACGTCATGTGAGCTTAAATCCTCCCTAAATGGAACGTCTCAGTTCTCATCAGAGCGTTACAAAAGGAAACACTCAAACATGGGGGATTATTAAAAAGGGTGGGGGGATGCAGCCTGTATCTCACTGGGGTGTGCCGTTATTTTTATTATCCCCAGTGTGCTATGCTTACAGAGAGAATAAATAACTGGATGAAAAAGGCTTTGTTGCTTTATTCTGACACAACAAAGTCCCCAGGCCACAGAAACTGCAGATCATTAAGAATTTAAAAAGGACCACGACTGAAGGAGGGCAGGGAGACGTCGGAAGAGAGCGTTGCCGGCAAACTGCAGTTCTTTTTTGTCCCGACTGTGCGAGACCTACCAGGCAGCCATGTTGCCTGTTTGACGCAGCGGGGAGGCGGAGTGGCTAAGGAGCTGGGCTCAGCTGACACTCAGTTCACAATGACTGCTGGGAAAAGCTGGAAAGGTCAAGCGTAAACATGAGATCGGGATCACAGGGACACCTGCGAGAGGCCAAAGGTCAGGGGAGCGGATGGACATGCTCAATAGCTTACAGCTCCTCCCCGATACAGACCACAGGGCCTCCTCCCTCTAGAAAGGATCTCGACCTTACGGGACTGTTTCTGATTGGACAATCCCTGGGAGCCTGCCGCAGAAACACATGCCGCAGACAGGCCTCAGGGATGGTGAATCAGAGAACTGCCATGCATTTCAGCAGAAGAACAACAGCGATGCTGCCCGATCAAAGCCAGTTAGAGGAATTCCGACTCATAAATACGAAGAAGAACAAGTGCTCCCAAAATGAACATCAGCGTAATAGAAATCTGTCACTGTTTGGTTTATATAAATTCATAAAATCTCATTAAGATAATGAGGGAATTTTTTTTAATGATGAACATTAGAGTTCTTAAGTGTTGGCTAGTGTTATATGCAAACTAGCTAAATATGAATTCTAATATTATAGATAAAACAGAAACCGAAGATGTTTAAACTACCATAAAATGACATCAGCACTGTAAATGAAGGGACCTAACTCTCTTCTCGGGGTGAGGTTTTATTAGTCTTTGTCACAGGAACGTATTGGCCGACCAAACCATTGTATGATGACACCAAAGCACAACGTTCATCTGCTCACTGGGCCAGTGCGATCCTCAGTCAAACATGGATCTGGAGCACAGAGATGCGGCTCCTGGCTCCCAGTTAAAAAAACAGCCAAAGTTGTGTGTGGGGAAGGGGGGCAGGGGGGAGGGTCGCTTTGAAATTGAACACCGAGCCAAATCTCAGAGAACCATCCGACCCGCGGGCGATCTGGAGAAGACAGCAGCACTGGACCTTACGAGTAACCGAGGGGAAAAAAAATCTTTGATGTTTTCTAAGCTCTATTGCCACACAGTTTCATCAATTCTGACCAGACCTGAAGCCCCTGACAGAGATGGATCAACATATAAGTGTGATTGGTGCTGAAATGTGCGGATGTTTATTCTTGTTGCAGAAGTGCACTGAGCATTTAAACATATGATATTGTTACACACATCTCATTAAACTGCTTTAGAAGGCATACATCAAAACATTGAATTGCTCCAAAAATTATTTAATTATGTAGCAGAATTTGAATTTATACTATCACTGATGTTACTCCAACAATTTGCTTCCGGATGAGAAAAACATATTTCTAGTCAGTCACATGTTCACCATAAAGCAGTGCTCCTGCCCCCCAGGCAGAATGTCTTCATCCCAACCCTACCTTTACCTGGCTTATATGGTGCTTAATAGGCCAATAATGGATGCAGTAGGTTGAAATCAGTGTGGGTTGGAATGAAGACATTCTTTCGGTGGGGGGCAGGAATGGAACTGCGATCTACTGTCATAAACAGTGAACATAACACAGCTCAGTCTGCCCTCTCAGGGACACCCAGGCCGCAGGAAGGATTTCGATCATTGCTGGAGTCTCCGGAAGTCTCCGTGGGCCGGCTCGCCGCAGAGCCGCGAAAGCGGGACACCCTTATTTCTGAAGGTGACTCCGACTGCAGTACGACCCGCAGAGAGACGGGACGGCCCGTGGCAGGTCACGTGTTATTTTTTTAGATTTACGGCACTGAGGCAGGCTCGCACTACTGTGCATTCTGTGGTGCTAATGCACCCATTTTAATCAACGCGCTTACCGACAGCAATGGGTAACGTTTCATTGGGACGATTCAGATTATTATGGGTATGCACCAGCTTGTACTGGCTGCCTCGGGGTGGAGGAGGGGGTCTTATTACAAAATGCTCTGGAATGCTACTGTTCCCTTCAGAAGCGCATCTCTCATCTGCAGCCAAAACCAAGAGCTTGTTTGCTTTTATAAAAGACTTGTGAGCACACCTACAAAGAATCATTCCATTTTAGTGTTTCTGTCTTATGGCAATCCCGCGACAATATCGTTACCTCTAAAATATTCCTCATTCTGTGGATCCCTCATAAGCCCAATTAAAAAATACATACAGCTAAAGTGAACTATTTTAGGTTGTAGCGACCCCTGTTGGTGCATTCTGCTGTTGTTGCTCACGACCTTGAACTTTGACCTCATGCTGCTGGGCAGAATTCAGTACAAATGTGCAGTATAAAATGTTTCTTTGAGAATGAGCAGCACGTTCACACTGTAGACCCCTATCTATATATCCCCAATATATATAAATGCCATATGCTATCTTCCCCATTCTTTATGATGTCTCATATTGTGTAGTATTCATCATAACTGAAAGTATGTTTCTTTGATTTCCTTCCAAGTCTAGTCATAGCTCTTGTACAAGGAGGAATCCTTTTGTAAATTGTTTTGGGGCAAAATTATAATCTTGTCATGTTTCTTGCAATGGAGAGAATTTAATTTGAAATACAATTGCTTTCATCCTACTTATTTAAATTCATTTTTTTTCCTGCATTTCTCCATCTTTGTGACCTCGTTTGTATTATTCTGTCTGTACTTCCCTGCATTAGTATCTTCCCTTTTTGGTGCCAGTGTAGCTACAATCCATTAGTTCACGTTATTTAAGCGGCTAAACTGGAATGTCTCTCCCATGCCACCGGACAAAATTCCATGCACCCCCCGCCCACCCCCCGCCAGCTCATCTGAGCTGCTTTCCACAGTCACACCCGGGGGGGGGGATCGTGCTGTGACCTTTTGCCTGCCCCCACCCAGGGCTCAACCAAGCAGCAGACACAGCCAGAGACATTATTTAACGGAAGTATAACAATTAAAAAAAAAAAAAACAATTCTGTAGGCCAAACAAACACCAAGCCATTTCTGGCAGTAACTCAAAGCCCATTTTTACCAGCAGGAGGCTCTGAGTATTACTCTGGTACAGCTTTAATCTAAACCTATCCTGGGGTACAAAGCCTAAAGCCTGTGATTTAAGTGAGTATTACAGTTCAAGGTTATGGATTTTCACCTATCTCTAAGCAATACATTTATAATGTGGCAAAGCTGGACTTTTTCCAGAATATCTCCCTCAGGCTGACAGTCACAAATAAAATTTATTTTAAATCCTTAAAAAAATGGATTGCGTATTGAGTATTACGGCACGCATCTATTATTCGATTTAGAATATCCTTCCTTGACAGATATTCCTGAGAATTGAAACTGGCCATATAATCCTGAGACTCTGAGAGCCCAAGATCAAAAAGCTCAGGGTTAATGTTAATTAATCCATGGGGGAGATGAATCAGACTTTATTGACTTGACAGATTAATAAAAATTATTGGCTGAATTTATATTTATACCATATGTTATTATCGTTAGCTTAAATAAATTACATGGGGGTGCAGTGTTTAGCACTCTGGCCTCTGACACTATATGTGTGGCGTTTGCATGTTGCCCCCGTATGGGTACTCTGATTTCAACCCACAGCCCAAAAACACGCTGAAGGTAATTGAAGCTAATCAGAGGTGTGCGTGTGAGAGTGACTGGTGTGTGAGTGTGTCCTGCGATGGGCTGGCACCCCAGCCTGGGTTGTTCCCTGCCTTGTGCCATAGACTCACATATTTTATCCCGTTCTGCCACCTGACGGACATGAGCTGCAAATCTCATGCTTGTCATGCACCCACCCAGTTTTATCATGGGGAATTCCCCCCCCAGCTCAGCAAATTTTGTCATGGGGGTACACCCCTGCGGTGACCAACAAATTTCACAGATTGTTAATCGCACATTTCACTGTTTCCACAGCAGCTATTGTGACAGGTCATCGAAACTGGGAAAAATGTTCTCATTCTTGGTTTGAAACTTTGAGAGAAACCTCTCTAGAAAATGCTGACAGGATTATGTTTTGTCTCAGACGGTTAGATCTTTCTTGTTAGATTTTCTTCCTCTTTGAACTTCGACCAGAGAGGATCTCACGTTGCCTTCAAATCACTCCTCCCTGTTGTATTTGGACTCCCAGGCAAACATTCAGCAAAACACAGATCTTCCGTCACGCCATTATGGAATATGAACAAAGCTTAGAGCCAGACTGAGCCTCTGCTCAACTCCAGGGCCCTGAGAACAAGAAGGCATGGCTACTTACCCTCATGCCCAGCTCAATGTTTTCTCCTCCGTAGACCTCCATGCCTGGGTCAAGAAGCCCAATCTCCTCAAAGTACTCTCTGTCAACCACGAAGGAGCAGCCAATCATGGCTGGAGTCCTAGTCACAAAACATGGAACAGATGAAATACATAAATATTATGAGGAACAACAATTGTGCTCAACAGGCTTCAACTGTAAGTGGCGTCCTAGTTAAGCAATGGGTAAACGTCTGAGTAAAACACAAATCTGTCTTTTGTTCTACTACATGCCAGCTGCCGATTTTGGCGCACAATGGCCGTGGTGAGATAAGTGCGAAAAAAATAAAGCTTTTGTGTGTCTGTCATTCTGGTTTCAATATCGAACAAATCTCCCATTACAGCCAATTTTAATTTTTTTTTTTTGTGGGAGGCTCCATGGAAACAGCCGCCGGATCCACAAATATGTCCTGCAGGGAATATCTCTCACTCGGATTTCCCAACGCATTCTCCTTCGATCTCTGGTGTCTCCTTGCTGAAGGCCATACCTCTTACACCTCAAAGATGTGCCGTTGCTTTTTTGGCTTTCTCTTACGCATATTTCCCCACAATGCCTTGCGCGAGCCACCCACCACCCCCCCGCCGGCCACAAGCAGGCTTAGGTACATCCTGCCGCGACTGGAAGCCGGCTCCCAGGACATGATGTCATCCGCTTCCGCCGCTGGCAGAAGTCACAAGGCAAGCGGGGGACCGCGTGTCCTGCAGGAACGACTCCAAAATGTCACCCCGACTGCCTGCTATCGTTTAAAACGCCCAAATGAAAAGGATGAAAATGTAACATTTAAAAAGGAGCAGGAGGGCTTCTTTCAAATGTCAAAGGGAGTAATCGGGTAAGAAATTCTGAATCGATTTCACGGCTCTTTCTGCATTCGCCCTGTGAGCCCATTATATGTGAAGCAACTGTGTATAAATCTCTCCCTGACCCATTCATTACCGAGACGGCACATTCCTGGCTATAATGAAGACTGAAATAAGCAATTAGCCGAACATATGTGCCTCTGTCGTCATCTAACATAAAGATCAAGCGGCACCGGTGTGCGCGCGGCCTTTAGAGGCGCCGGGCCGTCCGCACTACCGCGATGAAACATCGCTCAGCGGGACTGCGCGAACGACCGGCATTCCAATAGCAAGGGATTGATTTATCATAGCTAGTGCATAATTCATGTTTTCAAGGTGGGGCTGCATTCTGAAAGCAAAGTCGAGATGCTGGAGCGCTGATGAAGAGTTACTCCCACCTCCGACAGACTCTCCCGTTCAGAACTGCACGTCAGACTCGGTCCGAGATTAAATGCATTGCAGTGTTTATTATATAAGTCGGTCCAGCCTGCATAATTTAAACACACAAGACCAGAGACGTCAATCACTCCTGGGTTTTCCTGCATGGCATAATGATTACCTGATGGGGGCGCTCTCGTCTCCCTTGTCCAGCCAAGCCTGTGGAGGGCTGATGTACATGCACCAGAGGCCCCAGCTGTAGCCGTGCGCGGCGTTGGCATACTGCTGCACCTCAAAGGTGTTGTATTTGATGTTGTCAATGGCAGGGAGGATGATGCGTGTGCGGTCCTCCTTCACTCTGGTCAAGATTGGCTCCACCCTGATTGGGGACACGAGCCAATCATCAGCACCGAATAATGACCATATAAATCACACATAGACCCAGAGCAAAATAAAATAAACCTCATCATCCCAGTCCCCGCCCCAATAACCCAGCAACCCTGTACTGGATAAGACTTTTAAAGATACAAGTTTGGATGGAATAAATAAATGAGAAGAGCAAGAAGCTGTGAGTTACTCTTGGTTAATTGGGAGCCAAGCAGATGCTGGGTACCATACTCCATGCCCTCCTCGGCCCAGTTCATTTAATTAGGCCTGCAAACAGGACGGATGCACGTCAAGCCCCATGCAGAATTTACAAATTACTCTTCAGTTAAAGGCAACAATGCACACAAACGCGACTAAGACTTCAGCTCACTGACACACCATCACTGGTGTCCAGGACCGAACGGGAGAGAGAGAAGTTCTTCATTCATTTCTGGAGTCTTTCTCAATGAAGCAAAAATCCCAATGAACTGAAATGACAATGAAATGAAATGAGCTGAAATTAAAATGAATTGGATTGAAGGTTATCCCGGTCTCTCATTGGGGTTGAATCCTGCTCAGAATGCATCAAGGGAGTTTTGAGACACACGAGGCTGTTAGCTGGAACCTTACTGGATTAAAGTGAGTAGGAGAACAACTGGAGTTCAGGAAGAACTGGAGACTAAATTTAGAAACCCTCCAGTTTCTGAACCGCATCACTCCACCCTACTGCATAGTCCACTCCCACTGGTAGGCCTGAGGATCAGAGTCCTCTGGCCCCAAGGCTAATTCACAGGTTCGAGACAAGGGACAAATGGTGTCAGATGGTGTAAGAGACTTGGGCTACCGATCAGGCCTGGGTATCTCCATGGAAACCACAGTCCGGCACTCAAATCCACATCTGTTCTTCCTCACCTGAACAACTTGAGGAAGTATTGAGCTGTAAATGTAAAGCTAATAGATTCAAACAGTAACACACTGGGGCCCAATGGACGAGATCACTACCCAACGTGCTCCAATCGTCCCTCCCTCCCTCCACCGAGTTTGTGCTGCGGAGTCGACGGAGGAATTGGGCCGCTCTGCATCAGGGAGTCTGACTCACATCACGCCGAGGCAGAGACAACCTGCAAATGATGTGCTGAGATCCAGCGAGGACGCCTGACAGCTTCTCTTCCGCCCCCTTATCCCGTTTTAGGACTTTATGGACTTTATTCTATTCACTTGCCGGAAAAGACCAATGTGTCGTATCTACGGAAGAATGACGTCTTTCTCTAATCTCTAATAGATGGTGGTCAGCTGATCAGTGCCCCCCAGAGGTCTTCTGGCAGAAACATTGCATTCCTGGCACCTCACATCATGTGACAACACAAATAGCTGACTGTTCACTAAATCTTCGTACCCAGTGAAAATACACTCTGATTTTATGCTCTGATTTTACCTCCATCCTTCCCTTCTGGTTATTTGACAATGTTCTTAGATTAAGCTTCTCTTTTCCACATTATAGTGAGCCTGTGAGGACAAGCTCAGCTTCAGGGCACGGATATGGTTCGGTGTAGACGCATCCGCGGCTTGAGAGCATGAATTATAGGCCGGCTTGCTTATTTAGCTTAAACGTGCACGTGACCGACTTCAGGGTTGTGGGCACGGTTTAACGTGAAAGCCAAGATTCACGCCCAGTTCGATCTGCAAGGCATCTTGGGATGGAAATACAGATGGAGAGAAGGGGAAAAATATTCTTGTCTACTTCTGTTTTTAAAAATGAGGGAGCAGATGGAAAAGCAGACGAGGCAGGTACCGGAGTAGAGGCCATGCATGCGAGTCCGCGATCTGCGAGCGGACATCTGATCACACCCGTGTCGGCGTGCAACAGGCTCACACGCCGGACGGGCACGGGGGGAGCGGAGCTGACTGCGGCGTGGCAATGGTGACATGCCTGAAACTAATTAGCTGTTTGAATAGGCCTTTCTGTCTAACGTCAGCTTGTGCTCTCTGATAAAGCTGATGTCTTCACACAAAACACGTGCGTTAAACAGCCATCGTTATTATTCACAAGGATAGAGACAGGATTAAATGTCCCATAATGTTTACGGGACACAGGAAAGCCAGCGAAATGTATCCCCCTGCAATATCCCTCCCACAGTCAACAAAACCACATTCACTTATTTACCATGTATAGCAAAAAATATTTTTTTTGGGAGGGAGGGCTTACAGTGTCCCAGATCAGCAGTGAGAAAGAATTGGTATTAAAAAGCAAAATGTTACCATTCTTATAAGAATCTTCTAAATATTTATTAATAATACATTATTAATCCACGTTGGGGAATTCTATTTTCATCTACCCCATCTTGCTCTCCATGATACACAGACACACATGTAGGTGAGAGCAAGCTTGGCAGAGAAGGGCAGCCACCTGCAGAGGCGCCCACAGAGCTGGGGGTTAAGGGCCCACAGACGTGACTGTTCTGCAGAGGTTTGGGCTGCAAGCATCAGCCGTTGGCTCACAGGCATAGAGGCTTAGAACCGAGCCACACACTGCCCCCAAGATCCACTGCAGCCTTTCCCTAAAAATCTGTTTAATGAGATTGAAACAATGTTTATTTGCTCAGACTCCCCCCAAAAAATGAATGGCTTTATAGTTAGTTGTAAATAAAATCAGGAGTGTAAGTGGGTGATTGGGAACTAGCTGGGGGTGGAGGTGGGCCTGGGGGGGCAGGTCGGGGTGATTTGACTCTGAATGGAAGTCCAGAAGGTGTCTGAGTAGATGGGAGCTTTGGGTGCATCACGACGCAACACCCCCACCCCAGCCCTGCTCTCACCAGCCAACGTTGAACTCCACGTGAGCATCAAAGAAGCCAACGACCGGCGCGGTGGCAGCCCGCCAGCCCAGGATCCGGGCCCGGATCAGCCCCTCTCGCCTGCCGTTCCGCACGACCTTCACCAGCCCTGGGTACCGCTTGTTCACATACTGATCCAGGTTCAGCTTGAGCTCCACTGCAGTAGGGTGGGGGGGAGAGGGTGGGAGGACACATCACAGAAGCAGTTAGCGGAGAAAACGGCAAGATAACGTAGATGACAGGCAGCAGCCCGTGGGCATGAGGACTGCTGTGGGAATCGGGGTCTGAGCAATATTACTTGGGAGAGAAGGCAGAAAATATTGTCTGGCACCGTCGTGAAAGGTGATCCTGACAACTGGGAAAATGATGGATGGATGAATGAATGGACACATTGGCTGAGGGAGCTGATTGGTTAATCCATCGTGGCACTGAGGACGTTCTCAGTCACACCGATTGAAAGGGACAGCTCTCTGCTCTCTCTCCTCCTTGCAGCACTGGGGGGGAGCGGGGCTGGGGGGGTGTACGCAGGCAGGTTTGAGTAATGAAAATGGCCCCGGGGGATGGATTGGGTAAGGCAGCATGGGTGAGGCGATGGCGCGGCCAAAATGAAAGGAATGGTTGAGTCGGCTGAGAGGGATGGACACAGAGCAGCAAGTATGGAAGACAAAGAGCCGGTTTGCTTCTGAGATCTGAGAGCCTCGCATTGCTCAGTCCCCAAGAGGAGATTGGGGGATGCCTCAACCAGCCAGCTGCGTTATTGCTTCGACTTTGACACGGCAGCGTCTAAGTCGGCGTCTAGGTCGGCCCAAATCAGCCACGACTGATTGCTGGCCGGAGCTCGATGTCATGCCTCGATCCGCCTGCTTCCCCGGTCGCTACAGTTGGCTGTAGACCAGCTGCTGCTTGCCATACGCATATGGAAGGACGAACACCTGAGGTCCACCACAACCCGCAAGGCTGTCGAGACAGAGACGTCCGGAAGCAAGGACAGAGGACGTCCAGAAAGCCGGACCGAGGTCAGACGCATTGGCCAAAGCTGATTCTTACCGTGTGCTTTCTCCGCAGACACCTGCACACACATATTACCAGTCTAACAAAGGAAATTGAACACATACCAATGTGTTAAATTTAAATCCCATGATCAGGGATATTCTGAGAGATAAAAGAGACTGTGCTCCCAGGGGATGCGCATAGTCTGGCACCTTGCTGGAGGTGTCATCTCCGCTCTCCCGGAAATTGATGGTCCCGCTGCCCCAGCTAATAATTGCAAGGTGGGACTGGGGTTGGCGGGGGTTGTGGCAATCCTTTGTGGCACAGAAAAACTTTTTGTTGTTTTGGAATCTGGCACAGCGGGCCTAAAAGAGAGGTGACAACTAGCTGCATGATCCAAAAGACCAAAAGAGGCCCCTGCAGTCTGAACCACGCTTTATGTGAAGCTTCCTATAGACCTCTGGACCTGGATCATGGCTGGTTCGTCTTCACTGATGCCAAGGGGGCTTGGCATGGATGACAGACTCACACACAAAGACAAACATGGGGTGAGTGTAGGCCTTACCGCTGTCACTGTTGTCGTCCACCAGGATGATTTCCTTCAACAGGTGGGCGGGGGTGCGGTTGACCACACTGTGGACCGACCGCAAGATGACCGAGAGGGCCTCATTCACAAAGATGAACACCACGGAGATCTGCGGAAGGGCATCTGGGTAGACCATCTGCTTGCAGCTGCAGAGAGGCCAGCACATGGGTTTCTGCTGAGTTGTTACCCTCCCAGGAGGCACCAGCACCCCCCCCCCCCACATCAGGATCAGTTTGATTGGCAGGTGAGTTTCAGCTCCCATCGAGAACCATTTCTCATCTTGTTTTTTGTTTCTTTTTCGAAAGCCACAGACGTAGGACAGCTAAAAGTTTATCTCATGTGGCGTGATTCCCCGAGGGTGATCCAGCTCGCAGGATCTTCATTGCTGAGGACCCGGGCAGCTGGACCAGACCAAAGGGACGCCCACATAACACCAGGCTGCGGCAGATAGATGGCTATTTCTGGTGAGTGGGACTTGACCGCATATCTGCCTGGGGGGTTATGAACCGGGATCCACCATACCAGTGCATGCTCCCCAATCTGATCTGACCTGATAAACCATTTAAATATCCTCATTTAACCACAATTTCAGATTATTTCCTTTGTGAGGCCTGTTTTGTTGACCACCACTTGTCTGTCCTTTGTTTCTGTGAGGGCTGGATCGGTAGGACAGCTGAATACCTCCAGGTCAATCCATAACACTGGAAGTGTGATCATCGACTTACATTCACATCTCAAAACTGGGCCACCAAGACCATAACATCCACAAATCTCATCTCCATAACAACTGCTATTAATTAGTCCTTCCATCTGAACGTTTTGGAAAGATTATCAAGGATTGTGCAAATCTATCGAGTTCTTTGCAAGCAAAAGAGATTCTTGTCCGGAGCGCTCTGGCTTCTCCCATTTATTACTGTGTCTTATTATCTGTTTCCAAAGCCGATATAAAATGCCACAGAGTTACGGCTTTCTTTGAAGGTCTTTGTGACTTGGATGCATCGCGTTATTAATCTAAAATCAGCCCGTTCCTTCGTGTCGCCTTTACTCGTCCATAAAAATCCCGTTTTCGTCCCACCACAAGCGGTCAGGAAGCTGTCCTTTCATGCTGCGATTAAAGACGTCGCTGATAAACGACTGCACGGTGTCTACACTTGCCGCAATTTTCCTGCGAAGGGAGCGTTGTGAAGCCCGGAATCAGAGGCCTGTGGTCTTCAGTGGTTTTTATTAAAACAGCTTCAGCTCTTAATTTTTTGACTGAAGCCATTGTTTGACTACCGAGACCAATTGCCATGTTACATTTGAATCCGTTAGCTAACTGTTAGCGAGAGAAGCTTACACAGCTAAAAGGTTGACTAGCTGTGAACGATCAGCTAATTTAAAGGTACTTTCACCATATTGAAGGGCCTCGTATTTCAGGCTCTACAGGAGTCCCTTACGGGTGGGGGGGGGCTACTCTCAGGAATCATGCCACACGCACCAGCAATCCCAGCACTAATTTGTTTTAATTTTGCTATTGGTGTGACGTGCTGAACTGGACCCTGAAGTTATTCTATTTTCCTTCGACACATAAGCTGGACTTAAACAGCAACCACATTGATTTCAGTTTAACTGTTAATTGTTAGAGGATAAATTGGCGGCTCATGGGTCTCCGCTTGTTAAATACCTAATTTGAACAATTTTCTTGGTTAAATAAAGGTAAGAAGTTTCTAGGGAGCACTGTGGTCCCGCACCTCCAGGGTCTGGGGCTGCAAACCCCCCCTCCCCACCACCCCACTGACTGTGCGCGTTCCCCACCTGTGACACTCTGCTTTCTTCCAGCAGCCAAGTGGTGTCCCTGACCTGCCCATAATGCCCATATATGTGCCCTGTGAGGGACTGGCATCCCATCCAGGGTGTACCTAGGCCTTGTGCCCTGTGAGGGACTGGCATCCCATCCAGGGTGTACCTAGGCCTTGTGTCCTGTGAGGGACTGGCATCCCATCCAGGGTGTACCTAGGCCTTGTGCCCTGTGCTGCTCTGGATTGGCTTCAGACCCCCTCGCAATCCTGTCCTGGATAATCACTGGAGGATGTTTAAATAAGTTGCTCAGCTGGTCACCCATTCCCTGTGCTTTGTTGCATTCCTGTTTTTTAAATAAGCCACACATTTTTGAGTGCATTCTCTTGTTAACCTTGTTCGCTGATACACTCACCGTTTGGGCCTGTAGTCTGGGATGACCCTGTCCAATGAGATGCGGTCGCTCAGCTGGGCGTTGTAGCCGTACTCCTCATACTTCCCGCCCTCCGCCTCGTGGGCGTGGTCACGGAGGCTGGCGGCCACGCCCCCCTGTCCCAGCCCCCCAGGACCCTCCACCAGTCCCATCGGTTTGGCGAGACCTGTGGAAACAGGAAGGCGGTGAGTCTCGGGGAGGCTCAGCTCACCAGTGGTCGGGAGGCTCCTTCTGTAGTGGACTTCAATATTGCCCGTCGAGAAGATACAGTACAGAGAGCAGATGATCAAATGAGCAAAGGTGAAGCCTTTCGCAGCCTCTGCGAAGCCGGCCGTCCTTCCCCCAGTCAGGAACCGTGAGGCTCAACTGGATCCCAGCTAAAATCCGCTCGCTACACTCACATACCGCTACTGCCAGCGCCGTCTACGGCTCCAACCGCTTCAGGCTTATTATAACCGAACCGCCACAGCCCAGTGTGAGAGGATCACCGACCCCAGGAGGTCAGCGGGCGGGGGGGCCGTTAAAGGTCAAGGCGTTTTCTCCTCCCGCACCGCTGAGGTCTCCTCCTGCTGGGAGAGAGGGAAGCTTCAGGTCAGATTTCCACCACAAACGAGCTGATGTTTTTGTCTCTGCCTGTCAGATAGGAGACACAGCATCTCGTCATAAAAATAAAAAAAAAGCAACATGTCATGTCACCCTGACTCACTGGCCACCCCGCTGTTAGACGAGGGGAGTGCGCTACCTAATTACCATATTACCATTAATATAAGCCCAGGTGACACATTCAGCCATGCTGCTGGCTATCCCTCCCCTAACTTCTCTTCCCAGGTGTTTCCTTGGCCTTTTCGACTCTCTCTAAGCCCATATCCCGGTAGCCCCCCCGTCATGCACCCGTACGCCTGCTCTCATACCGCGCTTTCGCTGAGAATTCTTCATTGGCATAATACCAGCAGGAAAACTGATATCTCAGTCAAAGAAACAAGGGCCTTGCCCCAAAAAGTTAGATTTTTCCTTCCTGTTCACTTAGAAATATACTTTTTCTTGTCCTCAGAAATATTCTGGCTGCGTTTCCGTGTCCCAGACGGACGGGAAGGAGGGCGACGCAATAACCGTGTAGCAGGGCCCGTAATCCGGCAGGCCTAGGAAATGCCACCGCTGGGGAGCCGCTTGGCGGCTGGGCGCTGAGGCCGGCTTACGGGGATCGCCGAGGCAATCTGTCACCTCCAGAGAAGACAGACAGGAGTGTGGGAAAACCAGCCATTTACACCAGTATGCGGGTCAGAAACGGCCCCCTGTATCCCTCCTTTACACCAAGACCAGCATGCGGGTCAGAACCAAACACCCTGTATCCCTCCTTTACACCAACACCAGCATGCAGATCAGAACCAAACACCCTGTATCCCTCCTTTACACCAACACCAGCATGCAGATCAGAACCAGCCCCCTGTATATCTTTTTTACACTGACACTGGAGCTGAGTGTTGGAATTGGATCTCACCTCATGTTACAAGCACTACTGCTATATCATTAAAATCTTAAGGGTTTTTAAGCAAAACATTAAAAAGGCTATTCAAAGCAGGACATGGAAAAGGCCCTGTCTTCATTTGATGAATATAGACTGGTAGAATAACTGTTGGTACGTCTTACATGTTGTTTTGTTAACAAACAGTTCAATTACACAACCTGATATATTTCACAAAATTCTATATTCCTTGATTATGCACATTACGATGGGAAAATTCACTCTTTCTATCCCCGTGTATCGGTAAAAACAACAGTAGCATTTCAAGGACGAACCGGAAGGGTAATTATGAGGGTACGATGGGAAAATTAGCACGCTGCCGTGTCTCCGTTGTTAAGACACAGCTGGGCTCTCAGGATTCCCAATTAAAATCCATATGTGAGAAAGAAACAAGGCAGCGAGCGAGTCCCCACGCAGAAGAGCGCGACAAGACAAGCCAACAGCCAATCAACAGCCATCTTGGGTGGGCATGTGCGTGCAGAGACTGTGTTTACGTGTGACCTGGCACTTGCCAGGGGGATTCCACAGGGATGTTTTAACGAGCTTTCAGCTTCCCGGCCCGTCTGGACGTCACAGACGAGGAGCAGCGCTAGAGCCAGACTGGGGCGATGTTGTGAACTTGAGAGATATGTCAACTCATAACGCTTCCAGGCATAAAGCACCATCATGCTGTGAAATCCACTCCCCAAAAAAACACATAAACAAGAACGTCCACAGTGTTTGTGTCCATGAAACATAAGCGTCAAGCCTTCCACCAGCACACTGGACACTACAGAACCAGTTTACTGGACACTGCACACTACAGAACCAGATCACTGGACACTGAATACTACAGAACCAGATCACTGGACACTGAATACTATAGAACCAGCTCACTGGCAACTACAGAACCAGCACACTGAACACTACAGAATCAGCACGCTGGACACTACAGAAGCAGCTCAATGGACACGGAACATTACAGAACCAGCTGACTGGACATGGAACTCTACAGAACCAGCTCACTGGCACCTACAGCACCAGCACGCTGGACACTACAGAACCAGCATGCTGCAGTAAACCATCCCCTCCCCGATCACGCTGACTCCCATTTTAAGTCCACGCTGAAAATTCACCTCAAGGCTGAAGAGCTGCATCCCAAACTGAAGAGGGGCAGACGACCTAGAATCTGGAATTTCGACGAAGCCGTCCAGCCTGGGCCCCCACGGCGCCATCCTGTGGGGCACGGCGGTGGGGGCGGCAGTGGAGCCCTGACTAATCTGAGAGCGGCTTTATGAGAGAAGCTGGCCTGCCTCGGCCCTTCTTGTGATGCAACGGCGCTGCAACCCAAAGCAGGGCAGGGGGAACGTGGTCGTCGCCAGGCAGGGGGAACGCGGCCGTCGGCAGGCAGGGGGAACGTGGCCGTCGCCAGGCAGGGGGAACGCGGCAGTCGCCAGGCAGGAGGAACGCGGCCGTCGCCAGGCAGGGGGAACGCGGCAGTCGCCAGGCAGGGGGAACGCGGCAGTCGCCAGGCAGGGGGAACGCGGCCGTCGGCAGGCAGGTGTCCACTTGGCAGCATGACGGCCGCGAGCGGCGGCTGTGCTTATGTGGAGGATGAGGAATGCCCTCCCTCCCTTTAAATGATCATATTTTAGGGCATTAAGACACAGGTGCCCCATCCGGTCGATCACATGGAAACACCCTATGGGATGCAAGAGACACGTGGATAAACTTGATCACCGCGGTTACACCGTGCCTGAAATACCCATCATGCACTGGGAAGCACCGGCATGAAGCAGCAACGTCCTGCCTCACAACCTCTACACAAAACGGGGGAAAGGAGAAAAGAGAGCACTTCTAAACCGGACCTTCTTTATTCTTCTTTTATGCAAGGGGTCAGACAAAAAATGCCTGAGCTCTGAGCATCAACTTCCTCTGGTCAGTAACCCGTTTGTCTGCCTCAGACCACCAGAAACACAGAGCTGGGCCTCTGGAAGGACGAGCGAGACAGTAAGCATATTGTAAGTGGCAGGCCGGCCTGTCAAGCCCTAACGCTATAGGATTCAGTCCTACATCCTTAGGTTGGATATCCCAGGCAGCCACTGACGGTTATTATTCTGACTGAAGTTAAATGGCAAAATGGCACAGCCCCTAGTTCCCCACGACACGTGTCTCATTTACACAAGTTCACACTGCTCTGGAAATGGAGGGGGAGCAGCAACAATATATATATATAATATAACATCTGTTAGGGAAATTGGAATATGACAGAGAATGTAGTCGTCGGAACCAGAACCCAATTGGCTGACCCAGAACCCCACTGAGGTGTCGGCGGGAAAGACCAGCCCAAATGGTGGTTCTGCTTCACAGCCCTGTCCAGGTTCATCTGAATGGTTCATCTGTCCTGAGATCATTAAGAATTTAGAGCATCGACCATTTTAGAATCAAACAAAACACACAAAAAAAAGAAACGGATCTTAACACTAAAGGACCAACAAAAAATACAGAAAAACAGCCGTGCTGAAGTGATAATAAGCAAGTAGGCATGTGAATTATTCAGAAATATTAAAAAATAACTGACAGCCGTAGCAAGGACTCTCTCCAGTCCAGATCGATTTGTGGCAGCTTGCATTAAAGGCCTGAATAACATAAATAATACATAATGAAAGGTTCTTCTCCTGAGGACAGAATGCAGACGAATGTAAGACTGAGCCCATCCTGAGTCTCGCCGGTCTCTCAGCACACCAGCCATCAATGAGTCAATCAGCTTATAAAAACGGGAAAAGGTGATGGTGGGTCACGAATGCATGGACGGAGGGGGGGGGGCGACTTATTAA